AAAAAAAAAAAAAAAAAAGAAAATATATATGATGTGGCAACTTTGGACACCAGAATCCCTTCCCCTCCTTGGGTTTGTTGTTATTTGTTGTTATTGTTTTTTGTTGCTGCTGCTACTGCTTGTTTGGTTCATGACTTTCATGAATTAATTCTGCAAAGTCTGTATTTTTTATGAGGTCTGACCATCAAAGTCTCTGCTCAGTTAGCTCCGTAGGCAGCTAATGAATAAATATTTATTTAAATGTCTTGAACCAGTGTGTCTCCGAATCTTTTCCAAGCAATTCTTTATGCGTGTTTTGGAGTCTGCCTTCAGTGGTCATACAGGCAGTTTACAACTCTGCCTTAGCCTTCACTTCCTGCTTGTGCAGAGCCCCAAGGTAGCCAGAGGTGAGGGATTGGGAATTTCTCGGATCTTTCCTGGGCATGTGCACAGCCTTGCACATGTACATGGCTTTCTAGAGTCCCAGGGATTTGTCCAAACTTTTCAAAGCCCTCATAGACATCCATTCCCCAGTGTTTTGGGGAGGTTTAAAATATTTTTTACTCAGCCTCTTGCTGTCCCCAACTAGAATCACTGCCTCAGGATGCTGCAATGTTTAAAAATTTTCCACTGATTATTTTTGACAAACACCCTGGCAATATGGCTGTTTGCGCAGAAAAAGTTCTCAGTCAGGTCAAATAAAGAAAATCCCTGAGAATAGTGATTTATAGGCAACTACCAAACAGGTCACATATGACAATTCTCTAGGGATGAGTCTTTTTGGAAAGCTCCAAATCCATTCTGTTCCCTTCCATTGGCTGCCAGTTTGCTGATCTTCACAGTGAACCATAGTTGCAGAGTTGTTGGTTTTCAAGGCTACCATGGAGGTGGGGTGAGGGGGGTTAGATTAGGGCAATTTAAAATGCAACAGTGCTCACTGTTCTTAATGATATTCAATCATTTTTCTTAAATAAATGCTCCCAGATTGTTGTAAGCATTTGGTTAATTTCCAAAGCTCTTGAAAAAGTTTTTTTTTTTTTTTTTTTGAGATAGGGTCTTCCTTTGTCACCAAGGCTGGAATACAGTGGCATGGTCATAGCTCACTGCAACCCTGAAATCCTGGGCTCAAGCAATCCTCCTGTGTCAGCCTCTTGAGTAGTTGGGACGACAGGCACGCACCACCACACCCAGCTAATTGTTTTTTACTTTTTATAGAGACAGGGTCTTGCTATGTTGCCCAGGCTGGTCTCAAACTTCTGGGCTCAAGTGATCCTCCTGCCTCAGCCTCCCAAAGTGCTGGGATTACAGGCATGAGCCACCATGCCCAGCCTGAAAAAGTTGATTTTCACCATTTTTGCTAGTGTTTTCATTACTTTTACAAAGGAGTAGATTTCCAGAGGTCTTTACTCCACCATTCTGTAAGTGCTTCTCTTAAAAGAACATTTAAAAATATTACCTTGATTCTATTCTACACTTTTTTGTTTTCTTTCTATTCACAAGCTAACATACTTCTTTCCTTTTCTCTTTCAGTGAGTAAATCATAACATTCAGAGAGGAGAATATGAAAAAACATATTTTCTGATTTTTTTTAGTAGTTTCCTTGTTCTATGGTGCTATGGAGGAATGTGTCAGGAGCAAGGTAAACCTAAGCTGTTTCTTTCCAAAAAAATAAATATAAATCCAGAAGCACAGTCTTTCTAGTTCTGTGCTAGTCACGAAGAGAACTGGGGATTGGAGACTTATTCAATTAAGGAGCGATACTAGAGTATATGTAATATTCCAAGAAAAGAGGGTTTTGTGCCTGAGTTCCCTGCAGGAAGAAGAACAGTGCTTCTAGACGGACGAGGCATATGATGATTACACAACTCTGAATTCCATTTTGCTGGTATTTACCCCTTCTCAATAACAGATGCTGAGATGAATGAGACGCAAAATAAAACCATAATGAGTACATTCCCCTTCTTGAGCAAAACTGGAATTGGTAAAAGATCATGGGTCACAGGTAATGGTGACTGGTGATTCATTCCCGGTGATACCTTGGGCCAAATTTCAGAAGCCAGTGTATTTTCAGGAGGGGCGGAAGATTTGCATGTATGACCTCACCCAGAAGCTCCGGCCTATAAACAGGAGTGAGTTATCAGTCCTGCCCAGTTCCAGGCTCAGCACTTTACAAACAGATCAGGACCATGGCAGGCCTCCATCCCATGCCACTGCCACTGGGGCTGCTTCTGTGCCTTGGACTGAAGTTTTCTGCGGCCACCCCTACAAATCACAGTGACAACTGCGTGGTCTTTGATGAGGTCTTCACCACCACCAGCCCAGGCATCAGGGCTAATTCGGACACCTATGAAAGCAACACAATCTACACAGGTGAGTGGAAGCCACCATTCTCTCTGCTGTCCTTTGTCCCTCTACCCCTACTCTGGATTACGCAAAACATGTTTTTTAAAACAGATGCGAGATGGGGGGAGAAAGAAAATGAATAAGACTACGTGAGAGAGTAGACTGGGGGGACTGTTTCTGCATGTCCCCTGTGAACCTGAGCCTCAGGGGTCCTAAAGTCCTGACACCCAGATTAACAAAGCACCACAGTACACAGTCGTCTCACGTGTGTTCGACAGAACAATGCCACTGTGGATGCTCATATACGGCACAACTCCAGGGGGTACCGTCTGCATTTAGTCCCTGGGTGGGAGATCTAGTGAGCCACGCAGGGAGAGTGTTGCTATCCCACTTTATATATGAGGAGCCTGAAGCCAAGAGAAGTCAAATGACCTTTTCAGGTTTTCACTGCTAGTAAGTGGCAGAACCAGCTCTCAAATCTTAGTCTCTTCATTCTTAACCCAGTGCTTTTCTTAGAGGTGTCTAGTAAGTATTTTTATAAATATCCTTTTTTGGATCAGCCAAGCCTACAAGACAAAGAATATGCTTTCTAACGAGTTTCATAATAACAACATTAAATATGGTGCTTTACATGTAATAATGATCTATTATTCCCATTATCATTCCCATTTTGTAAATGAGAAAACAGAGGCAGAGATGCTAAGGGATTTACTCAGGTCACAGAGCTACTTAAAATAGTGGAGCTGGGAGATGAACCAGCATTCTAGCTTCAGAGACCCTACACTACACACCTTGTCCATTATAGTATGGGGAGCTGACACTTCCATGTGCTGGGTATGTTTTAGGGGTAAACGCTATTATCGTCCCCATTTTACAGATGAGAACTGAAGCATAAAGAAGTTAAAAATGTACCCAAGGTCACCAATAAGCAACATAGCTAATATTTGAATCTAAATAACAGCCAAAATGTGTTCAGCTTCGTCCAAACAGACTGCCCAACTTCAGAATCTCCCTTCCCATCAACTGTGTTATCCTGCCTCTCTTTTTTTTTTTTTTTTTTTTTGAGACAGAGTCTCGTTCTGTTGCCCAGGATAGAGTGCCATGGCGTTAGCCTAGCGCACAGTAACCTCAAACTCCTGGGCACAAGTGATCCTACTGCCTCAGCCTCCCAAGTAGCTGGGACTACAGGCATGCGCCACCATGCCCGCCTAATTTTTTGTATATATTTTTTAGTTGTCCAGCTAATTTCTTTCTATTTTTTAGTAGAGATGGGGTCTTGCTCTTGCTCAGGCTGGTCTCGAACTCCTGACCTTGAATGATCCTACCACTTCGGCCTCCCAGAGTGCTAGGATTACAGGCGTGAGCCACCGCACCTGGCCTATCCTGCCTCTCTTAAAGTCTAACCAAATCTTGCAGGGACCAGCAGGGTGAAATCCACATTCATGGTCTAGATTCCAGACTTCAGCAGGTGGACAGCCACAGCATGCCTTCGCACACTCATCCCGGCTTGTCTTTTGTTCTAACTTTTTATGGAGGCTGCCGCTAAGTGCTTCAGTTGTGACAGGGCTATGTCCCACTCCCTCGGCCAGTGGATATTGTCTTGACAGGGCAGGGAGGATAATCTTGTAATTCAAGATGAGCACCTAGTAGACATCTGTGTGACCTGTGGCAGGACCTGGTGGGGTCAGAGGCAAAAGAGATTCCAAGCACCTGATACAAGATTACATGTCTTGAGGTGAAAAATTTTGCTATTGCAAAGGAAGAAAGAGAAATCAGTCTATGGCCACTCCACCCTGAACATGCCTGAGCTCGTCTGATCTTGGAGAAATCAATCATGTCAAGATGCTGGAGGAGGAGACACGGGAGCCTTCTGAAAGTGCAGAGGAGCAATCTCAGCAGTTACAGGGGGGTTAGGTGGAACCAGGCGAAGGGGAAGGAGGAAAAGAACTAAGAGTCCTTGAATGCCTGCGTATGCCATGCACCCCCAAAACTTCATCAGATTCCATCTTAGTACAGAAACGTGCTGCGAAAGCTCCATGGTAAAATGACTTACTATACGTATGATTTAAGTTGAGGGTCAAAATCCTACGCCCATGGGGCTGCCAGGTTCCACATCTACAGTTACACAGCAGGCTCCACGACTGCCTTGCAGAGTGTCCTTGCCAGAACTCGTGACTTCTGGGAACCCTGAGTACACACCCACCCAAGCCAACAGCTTTTCCTCATCTTGGATTGGAGATTCTTTTAAACTTTAGGGTTATGTCAATATTGGTAAACCGTGGTATAAATAGCTTGGCAGGTCCCAGGAGACAACTGCAGCTCAAGCAATATCTTAGAGCAGGTTGCCTGGGGCTTTTTGACATCAGTGAAAGAAACCCTTAACACAGTGACATATACATCAAGACTGTGCTGGGCAAGCACCATTTCCTTTTTTTATTTCTCCGGGCAACAGGGACATAATTTGCCTGCCTTTCTTCCTGAACTTTCAGCTTTAAGGGCACCATACAACATCGGATGCATGACTTTTTAAATCGATCTGAGTAGTTATTTAGTGCTCGACACTGGGCTGGCCAAATACTGACACAGATGAAACCACAGAGCATAGCACAGGTCAGAATATAATTAAGTGCTCAGCTCTACAGTAAAAACCGTCAATGTTTCAGGAATGAGAGGAAAAGAGGGCTAAATTCATCGGGAGGTGGGAGATAAACAGGACCTTGGAGTGGAAGTGGGGACGGTACTCATGACGAGAGGGAAGGAAGGATTCCAGAGCAGGGGCAGGTGTGGGCCAGGTGTATCTGCACAACAGGGCGAAGCCCGGCTGCCCCTGGAGTGGGAATACAGACAACAGGGTGAGGCTAGGTCTGTCAGGTCCTAAAAGCCACGTGCTGGGACTGTCATCAACAGACCAGAGGCAGAAATAGAAGAGCAGACATGTTAAGATGCTCTGGAAGGAAGGATCCTTTGAAGGTTTGGCCAGGAGTGCGCTCTGATGGATGTGTTGTGGAGGAAGTCTGGTCTGGCCGCAGCATGTTGCAAGGCCACCTGAAGGGAGAAGAGCCTAACCAGAAATCCAGGTGACGCAGGTGCCTAGGAGGGAAGAAAGAAGGACTCACACTAGAGCGGAAGGGGAAAAGCAGAAGAAAGGACAGAGGCAAGGCCACATCCACGCCGAGCTGACAGTCTTGATGACTGTCTGATGACACCATCATTCTTCACCTTCCACACCTGACCCACAGATCTAGGACAGACGTCAGGTGCTCACTGAGCAAGCCAGGGCCTGTTGGTCTGTGTCAGCCAACGCCAACCGGCACAACTAACAATTAGAACAGAGAAATGGAGTGTGCTAACAGTCATATAATAACAGTTGCAATTTGGCCAGTACCCACCATGTATTAGAATCTTCACATTCTTCTCTTTAATCCTTCCAGGAACCTTTCAAGATAGGCATCGTGATCTCAGATAAGGAGGGACAACGTCATTATGCCCAGACCTAGAATCAGGCCAGGTGCAACGCAGGCATTCGAGAAATATTTGTGGAGTGAGTGGTGAACACGAAGGAAACCAGAGCTCGGAGTTGAAATGACCTGCTCCTAAGTGTCAGGGTCAGAATTCAGATCCAGGACTGTCTGACCCCTTTTATGTCACCTGCTCAATTTTCTTTGCTTTGTGAAGAAGGCTTGAAGCAATTTCAGGTGGCTGAGAAGGCCCTGGAGAGAACACCACCCTAGCATTAGGAACTCACTTGCAAGGGATCTTCTGAGGGCAGAAATGGAAAGGCTGAAATATTCTCTTTAAATACCCTGCCCATTACACCTCGGAAGGCCGAAATTAACAAGTGGGATTAACAAGTGTCCGCCAGGGCCCCTGCGAGTGCGCGCTAGGATGGGCCCTGCATGGCTGAGTGGAGGAGAACCCCACGGGGCTCCTCGACAGGTACCAGGATGGGCCCCGTGGCTCACAGTCACCCCTTCCCACACCCCCAACGACACACACCAAGAGGATCGGCGTTTCTGGGGCCACAAAACGGGCTTCGCTCTCACTCGGCCCACCTGACCTTTCACAGGCGTCAGCGTGTCCCCACACGCCCCCCGAGAAGAGGCCCAGCAGGCTTTCCCCCTCATCCGAAAAGAGAGAAAGAGATTCACCCCCAGGATCTCATTCCAATATGTAGCAAAACCAGAGCCAGAGTAGAGGTTTTCTTTTTTCCACCTTTCACTGTAGAAATTTGGAAAACACAAAAAAAGCACTAGGAGCAAAGTAAAAATCATCTGTAATGCCACTACCAAGAAATCATCACAGTTAATATCTTCATGTATTTCCTTCCAGACTTTCAACTTCTTTTACAAAAATGGGACCATACTATATATACATGCTCTTTGTAATTTTCTTTATTCACACTTAATTTTGGTCCCACTCCCCTCATCCCGTGAGCGAGCGTGGCTCACCCTGCACAGATGGCTGACTGTTCCCTCACCCTTTCCTCCTAGTATGGGTTCCGGTGAATGACAATGTCAGCTCTGTGATCCTGCGAGCAGTGGACAAGAACAACAGCACGGTGGGCTCCTGGCAAGGAGCAGACAAGGAATGCAACAGCGGCTCCCTGTATTACGTGAAAAACGTACACGACATGCTGCTCCAGGCAAATTGGGTGGCTCCTAAATCTGAGAACATAACTGAAGTCGAACTACAGTAAGAACCTATCTTACTTCGCTTTGGGCTTTTAAAATGTCATATTGGGTTTACACAGTTTTCCACCGACCTTGGAGGTCTGAAAATACTATCCAGATGTGACATGGGGATTCAGCAGCTGCTCTTCGTTTCTGCCTCGCCGCCTTCTCTGCCCTACCGTTCGTCTATAGGAGCCCGCACACACACACCACCCAAAAACCACACGACACACACCTCACACACAACGCACGCTACACCACACACACTGCACACACACCATACATCACACACTACACCCCACACGCACATACCAGTTATGCTCAACACACATAGAAATAACTGAGCACGCTTTTTGTTTCAAATTCTCCATATTCAGACTGGAGAATCATTTTATAAAGCATAGACTCATTTTGGAAATAGCTAGCTAACATAAAGTGTGATGACTGTGTAATAAAACCGGCTTCCTAGTGTCATACAAAATTAACACACAGATTCTGAGGTGAGGCCACCTGGGAGCTCAGATAATACTTTAACTATAAACAGCTAGTAAGGCTGTTCATGGTGCTTTTCTGATCTGAGGAAAGGATTAGGGAGCCCACGATTAATTTCCATGCATGTGCTAATAAACAAGGACCTTTGACACAAAGTCGCTAGAACTCTGAAGCAGTTCTCAAGAAACTAGAAAATTCAACACAAAATATTTTTCCTCCCTAAAAACAAAGGTCAGTCAACAGAAAGACACTGTCGATCTCAACACACACAAAAAAAATCAGTTAATAAAACTATAATTCTTACATTAGGTCACTAACCTGAGCTTAATTTGAGGAGGCAGTGATGGGAGGGTTGTTAGAAATATTTCTCCCCCCAGTTCTCTGATTTTTTTTCCTCCCATTTATCCCAGATCTCATAGCTTCTCTACAGCCTGCTCCTTCGTTTCCCAGGCGTGAAATGATGAGGTCTCTTGTCCATCTCCTCTTTTCACAGCCTCTCTGCCTCCCCTACTAGGGGAGCAGTGCCCGGAACGCTGCAAGAATTTAATGCAAATTCCTCCCCTTCCCTCCTCCCTCCGTCTCTCCTCCTTCCCTTCTTCCTTCTTTCCTTCCGCCCTCCCTCCCCCCTCTCCCCCATTTCTGACTTCCTGGAGGATCCCAACCTTTTAATTCCTTTTGTGTTCACTTTCTCAGATAGGGATTTGTTGCTGGGTTTACTTTAGGAACCAAATGTTGGGAGGTACTTATGCTTTCAGACTGCCATTTTGTACTGAAAGGGAAGGTCTGAACATCAGGCCGTGTCCACTGTGAACAGCCAAGTCTTTGTGGAAGCTGATGATGATGGTGATGATGTTGTCAAACCATCTTTGGAGGAGGTACTGTTATGCCCACATAGTGAGTTGTAAGAGTAGAATCCAAAGGGAGCTGCCACAATCCAGCCTCACTATGACAGCGGTTGCTTAGAAGCCAGCCATGGGCTATTAGGGATAGGACTTTCTCTTCATGTCACCTTATTAAAGCCTCCACACCCCATGTAACAACAGGTAACAGACGAAACAGCGACAATCTGCAAGACAAACAGCACAACTCCACTGACAATGTGGCCTCCAGACCACTCCCCACTCACACACCTGCTACAATACGCTGGCCTCTCTGCTTGTTCACATGTGCACATAGGGCCTTGATCAGCAAGGCTAGCTCAAGGGGAGGGGAGCCCCACACATTCTGGGGGACGCAGAAAGCGGGGAACTCCACAGTGATGGGTACTGTGCTGGGCAGGGCACAAAAGGGATGGTGAAGAGGTCCCTGCCCGCAAGCCTTTACAATGAGGTTAGCGAGGCAAAGCCTATACAGAGATAATTACTGGGCTTACACATCACTTCCTCGAGAAAGCATTCCCTGAACTCCCAGATCAAGTAAGAGCTCCTTGTTATACACGCTCATGATCTCCTCTACTTCATCAGAGCATTTATCACAACTGTGATCAATTACTTAACTCATTAGTTGATCATTCATTTAAAATCTGGCCCTCTGAAGAAACTGTAAGTGCCACAAGGGTGAAAACCAGGCCTGTCTTGCTCAGCTACTGCCCCCTCAGCCCCAAGCGCAGTGATTGACATGTAGTGTCCTTTCATGAATTATTTGTTGCGTGTATGAACCAGGGACTGGTATAATAATGGATCCATTGATCTAGTAACAACAGACCAAGCTGTACAGGTCATTTAACCAACATTAAGCACCTATCATGTGCCAGGCATTGTTGACAACAGAACCTGCCCTCAAGAAGCCTGTCTTCCCATGGGGAGAGGGGCTCACAGCAAGTCAAAGCAGTAGGTGGTCATGGCTCCCTGATGGAAATCTGTCTGAGTTAATGACAATAGGGAGAAATGACTTTATAGAGAAGGTTACCATTGAGTTTATGGGCAGATGTGACCATGACAGGTTTTACAGGCAGAGAGACTGGGTTGAACAAAGACCTAAGGTATGTACCAGCCTGTTGGAGTTCAGAGTGGTGGAGTTGGCAGGGGTGGGGTAATGGGAGAGGTCATCTGGAGGTTAAGGTCATGGAGGATCTAAGTCAAGACAATGTAAAGCAGATCGATATTTAATGATCTAATAATCATGCCATAGAGAAAGTGAGCACAAAAGGAATTAATGGGCTGGGATCCTCCAGGAAGTCAGAAATGTGAGCTGAACTTGTGAATTCCACATGAGGTTCTCACCATTCTCTCTCATTGATTTGCCCTCCACAGAGCCTTCACTGTCCTCCCCCACAACACGGCCACATTGTCTTCTCTGAAACTGAACAGCAAAGGTGAGTTCCTCTGCAGTCCATCTGCATATCTGGCAATGAACTCTATCAGACTGGAAAGTTACTTTGTGGATGCCCTAGAAAAGAGGGTCTTCTTATCACGTGTTACCCAGATATCATTTGAGTCTCCCAGCACCTAGAGACCTACCTAAGATTTGCCCAACCTATTACCCCATGCCCTGTGGAAAACATAAGCCCTCCCCAGGATTTCTGCAAATTCCCAGGGGCCTTATATTCTCATGGTCACTGGTGGCTCCAAATTCCTGCTTCCATAGGGGCTGTTTCTCTTCAATACCACATAGGCACTGATAGGAAAATTAACATCTTCCTCAATTTCCACAAAGAATTCCCACTCACATAAGGCCTTCATGGATGTGGTAGACTTTAATCAAAGAGTTTTAAAGGAAATTGAGGTGAGGGTGGAGAGTTGCACAAAGAAGGTTGATATCATAAAAATCTCAATAATTTCCTTCATTCCTTGGTTTTTAAAGTGGCCTTTGGCCACCACCACTACTGCCAGCAATTTCCACTGGTTTTTTACAGGCTGCAGCCTCCAACCTCACACCTTCCTGAGGCTCCTCTGTCTTTCTCCATCTCTGCCCCCTTCCTTTTCTCTTACCTCCCTCGAAGGAGCTGTAACAAATTCAAGAAATGAGGTTGAGAACAACAGGTAACTTGCCTAAGGCCACACAGAAAGTAAATGGCAAAACAAGGCCTCCTAGTCCATATCTTATACTTTTTTCCCACTTTTCTTGGACTTACATCAAAACTATAAAAATAATCTTTTTTCAATGAAGTTTTTAAATACAAGATTCAACCAAGAGCAAGAAACATTAGTCTCTCCCAGTGCCCAATAACAGGTCTTCCTCATGAGCCCCCAAACACTGAAAAACATCTAGTATTGTGCCCATTCTCTTGCCAGTCATAAACTACAAAATGTATTCAAAAGGAAGAATTATTTTCAACAACAAATTTTAAAGTGATTTTGCCTAATGAAACTATTATATGAAAGTCTTAACTGTTTCCTTGGTGGCTTCCCCTCTGTAAGAAGACTGAGATGTTATTTTCTTCCTCAAGGACATTTTTGAGATGAATAATTATGTAAATGCTAAGAGGAAAAAAAAGAAAGGTAGTTTCTTTGTCAGGACCCCTTAGGTCCAGGTTAATAAAATCCAGTTTAAAAAAGAAAGTGGTTGTGTGCCAACTTTCTGGCTCGGTGGGATGCCAGAGAAGCATCTGTCCTGGGAAAATGCTTAATGAAATAAGACAATGCCACTGAACTGGAAGGCTCCCTCCAGGCGGACAGAGGACTACACCAGCCTCAGTAAATCACTGGACGGTTCCCTTCTTCCTCTTCCTTATACACTCCTCTGGGGTCCACTCAGACCCTTGGCGTTATCCCTGCCAAGCTCGTTTGTCCAGGATCAGACAAGCCCCCTGGACTACAGGCCTGGCTTTCTCTGCTTCTCTGTAAGATAACCTCAGAGAACCAACATGTGATCTGAACCCCACATGTAAAAATAACCAATGTCTTAGAAAAAAAAGAAAGAGTCAGTGTTTTAACACATTAACTGCCGTGGGGGTTGTATTTAACTCACACTAGTTTTGAGCCCGAGGCCTCGTGAAGCATATGAAGACTTAATTCTCTGAAACAAATTCAATAAGTATGTTGTGAGCCACATACAACTTAAGTGGCGTGCAGTGTAAAAATTGATTCTAGCGCCACGTGAGATGCATATAACTCATACGCAGAAAACAATAAAAGAAAATAACAATTTTTTCATTAAATTAGAAAGGATCATTTTGTTTTCAAAGTTTTTATTCTGTTTTCGTAATAAAACACCACGGCTCCATGGAAAAAATTTTTTTTCTAGTGTGGCAGTCCATGTGTTAAACAGGGCATCTTTCCACTACCTTTAAAGGAGGGACGGCAGTCTTGGTCTGGATAGTATCTAATTCTCACAAGCACTCGAAATTAGCAAGAAGAAAATAAAATTGTGCCATTCTGGATCCTATTTGCACTGATTAACCTAATATAATATTAAGGACATAAAGACATTTGAGGGAAGACTACCCACCCCAACAATAAATTCAACGGTTGTATAAATTCAGTAGGTCTCCCCTTCACCTCATAAGACTGTGCAGACCTTAAGGGCAGAGAGTGTTTCTTCTTTATTTTTGTTATTTACCACCTGTACCCTCTAGCATTCCCCCTCTCCTGCACGCACTTGGCACTCGAGAATCACTGAGTTTTATTCATGAATCTGGCTCCAGTATCCCATCAGATTAGCCTCCTTTCTGAGTGCCCACCTACCCCCCAGCAGAAATTCTGATGCCATTGGTTATTTTCCAGTGACAACCACAACCTTGACCTCCAAGATTTTTACAACCTCGACCTCCAAGATTCCTGTAACTGTGACCTCCAAGATTTCCACAACCAAGCCGACCACAGCCTCAACCCTACCCACAACCAGAAGCTTGGCCCACAGAGCCACCAACAGACCTATCATAGATGCCATTTCTATCCTGCTCGCTTTTCTCATCAGCAAACTTCTCTTCTAAAAGGAAACTAGTGAAACAATTGTTCCTGCCTCCATGGCATCCTCCTACGTTCACTTCCAAGCTGGTGCTTGGAAATGTGTGTGAATGACGGCTCTACATTCCCAAACGTGCAACTCAACTGCCACTGCTTCAGACCAGAACAGAGACCAGGGGGCACTCACTGGTGGGCTTGGGTCACGCAGATGTTCAACTGTATCTTTCAGGACACAAATTATGCTTTCTGTAAATATTTAGACCTGGCCTGCATATAGCAACCTACAGTTCTGCCTATCAGCTTAACATGCTGATAGCCAATTCCACAGTCAATCAAAACTTTTATTGCCAAATGATTCCTCTGTACCCCTGAGTTTCTGTGGGTCGAATCCTTCCTTGCTTTCAAGATGATCTCAGATTCTGACCAAACCCACTGAGGTTACACATAATTTCTGAGACTCATGTGACTCGACAAGGAAAGGAGCAAGGAGAAATAGCCCTGAGGCTACTGGCAGCTTCCCATTTTATCCACACCAGTAGGTTTTGAAGGGCAAGAGAATAGGAATGTACCACGTTTGAGCAGCCAATGGTAGGAAAAATTATGTTATAAAGGCATTTTTTCTATGTTATACCAAATAAATTATAGTTCAAACAAGAATAGTGACTGTGTTAAATTCAAATATGTCTTTAATGAGTGATTAAGTGAAAATATAGAGAATATTATCTAATTGTATTCATTAATGTGGATATCAAAAAATGAATGGAAAGTGAGTGTGTGTATGTTTTCAAGGCCAGACCTCAGGGTAAAATGATCTCAATTTTCATTTCCCTCAAATGCAAACTGGTCATTTGCCCCCTGATAGTAATTTCCACTAAGAAATGGGCAAAGTATTTATAGTATTTATAATATAATATAAAACCAAAATAAAGCATGGTATTCCCAGTAATAAGCTTGTAATAGGCAACAAAGTTTTCTTTTAATAATTATGCTAAATTCCAGGATGCCGACATCCTTTTCTGATCCCCAAAATTGTGTGCCTTCCCAGAGTTCTGACTCTGTTCTTCCCTCTCCTCCTTAGAACACCTTGATGATATTCCTCCTCACTCCCTCTTGTAACTGAGGAAAGCCTCCTATGCAAATACTCAGCCTGCTTATTCATGTATATTTGGCTTAGTTGAGTAACTGCCAAAGAGATAGGTCAGCTATGATTTTTTTTCTAGCATTAAAAAAAACTAGAATGAACTGAACAACCCATTTTCCCATCCATGATTATCCACCTAATTTAAGAGCTCAGAAACGTGGCATGCTCCTAACCTCTTCAGAGATGCTGCCCCATAGGTTGATTCACACCAGTCTGAGGGAGGAGCAACAAGAGGTTCTCCCAAAATTCTGAGCAATTTTATGGAATGAGGAAAAGCCCACGAATGCCCATTTTATCAGCATTTACTTTATGCTTCATTACTGTTGATATTGAAGTACCATAAGAAATACCCTGGGTTTTGTACTACAAAACTTCCTGCTTTTGTTAACATTTCCACCCTCTCTCCTCAGAAAAAACATAGAAAGAATTTTGCCACAGTGTGATCCATACAGACAACACTTTCCGATCTAGATAATGGCTACCCCCTACTGCTTCAGGTTCATTTGTCAACAATGGGTATGGAGCACCTACTACATGCCAGATACTGTTCTGGGCTCTTGAGCAAACCAAAGATCTCTGCCCCAGTGAATCCCCACCCCACGATTCCCTCACAAAGCTAAGGACCTTCTATGTGCTGACACCGTTGGGTGCTTCCATGTGTGCCACGTGTGAAATCCTACATTTAATCCTCAAAAAAATGCACTACGCTGAAAGTTGCCTGAGTATTTATTTATGTTTTCAAAGATAAGAAGATTGAGGCTCAGAGAAGTTATGTTACTGACTTCAATCACAGAGCTAGTAAAAGGCAGAGCAGGAATACAGACCTGCTCCAAAGACTATGCTCTCCCTCTTAACCACAATGCCTGAGTCAGCCTGACCTTAATTGACTAGCTGAAGGCTGTGGGATAACACTTGCCCTGCTTCACTGTGTAACAATAACAGTAGCATTAATAGTAGTAGTAGTAACTACTCAATAAATGGTAGCCACCATTATAATGTGTCTCAGTGTGCATCTCTAGGAGTTTATCCTACTTGGAGTGTGTTGAGTTTCTTGTATGTATATACATCCATGCCTTTCATCCAGTTTGGTAAGTTTTCAGCCATCATTCCTTTTTGCTCCCTTCTCTCCTCTCCTTCTGGGACTCTCATGCATCTGTTGGTACACTTGATGGTGTCCCACAGGTCTTTGAGACTCTATTCATTTTTCTTCATTCTTTTTTCTTTCTGCTTCTCAAATTGGATAATTTCAATTGATCTATCTTCCAGTTCACTGATTCTACTGTCTGTTCAATCTGTTGTTGAACCCCGGTAGTAAATTTTTTATTTCAGCTATCATACTTTTCAGCTCCTAAATTTGTATTTGGTTTCTTTTTATAATTTCTGTCTCTTTATTGATAGTCCCTGTTTGCTCAGACATCTTTTTCCCGGTTTCCTTCAGTTCTTTGTCCATGGTTTCCTTTCACTCTTTCAGCATATTTAAGACAGTTGACTTAAAGTCTTTGCCTAGTAAGTCCAATGACTGGGCTGCCTCAGGGATGTTTCTATCAAGTTTTTTTCTTTGAATGGACCATACTTTCCTATTATTTTGTGTGCCTTGTAATTTTTTGTTGAAGACTAGACATTTGGAATATTATAATGTGGTAACTCTGGAAACCTGATACTCCTCCCGTCCCAGGGTTTGGTACTGTAGATTGCTGAGGGCTGCAGTTGTCCATTTGTTTAGTGACTTTTATAAACAATTTTTGCAAAAACTGCATTTCTTGTTGTGTGTGGTCACTAAAGTCTCTTTTCTGTTATCTCAGCAGACAGCCAGTGACCTGACAGATTATCTTAAATGCCAACAATTTAACAGGCTCTTTTTTCATTAAGCATTGCCTTGGTAGCTGTAAGTTATTAGATTCCAGAGTTCTGAAAAAGATGATTGACAGTTTTTGACAGCTTAATGGTTGCTTCAATGGAGGACCCACTCCTTGGAGCTCCTTATTCTGCTATTTTCTATAATGTCACTGGGTAGCCAACATTTGATCTGCCAGGCCTCGTGCTAAGCACTTTACATGAATCATTTCATTTAATCCTCACAACAATCCTATGAGATCTGACCATTTTATAGATGATGACACTCAGCCTGAGAGGGAGATATAATTTGCCCAAAGTCACTTGGCAAATAAATAGTGAAGGTGGGTTTTGAAGCCTAGTGTAAACCACTTCAAAGCCTGCACCCCTAACCAGGACACCATTGGGGTTCCTGAGAAGCTCTTGCATCACCTGGGATTCCCCAAAACAACTGGCTCTCCCAGATCATATGACAAGGAGAGGGTATGGGTGTTCCTTGCTGACACAAGCAGTCTGCCTACTCTAGCAGTGCTCCTCTATGCCCTACTTCTCTGCTGCCATCTCCAAGATAAACTGCAATGAGTCCTGACCCAACAAGCTAGGAATATGTTTTATATTTATCTTTCACGGCCCAACCTGGCCCTCACCTCAGGTTCAACATGGAAGGTGTAACAAATATTGACTTTGCCACAAGCTGAAGCTCCAGCAAAGATATTCTCTGAAGATGGAAAGTTTTTAGACTCAAAGAAATCTGGGTAGCTGAATTCAGACAAGCAGCACAGAAGCAGCTAAGCCAGAACACCGTATTAGGAGGCACAAAACTTATTAAATTCTAGTTCTGCTACTAAGTAGAAAGGTGACCTTAGACATGTTGCCTTACCTTCCTCTCCCCGTTTTCTCATCTGCTAGATAAGGGTTGGCCCAGGTGTCTCAGCCCCTTCCAGGTCTCAATTTTGATTTCTCTGTCATACCCAGACCTAGTTCTAAGGGTCTAGTCGGGAATGGTAAGTTCATGCTACCTCATGGCACATCCATCTGACTGATTAACAGGGGTTTCTGGGAGCACTGTTTAGAATTCGGATGCAAAATCCAGACTCAGAAGTAAAGAATATAAAAAATATATTCAACTAGTGACATCTTCCTTGGACTGAGGAGGCAGGAATTGAAGCAGCACAGGTTCCAGGTATTCACCGTCCCTGGTTACCCCTTAAGTGAATCCAGTAAGTAGTAAGCAAGGTAGGTAGCAGAAGAAGAGTAAAGAGCTAAAGAAGTATGCACATTCACAGATACAGGAGTAGCTCATCCTGATCCTCACATTGGCAATCAATCTTCTGATCCTAATTGAAAAGTGATACACCCTCTTCCTCCCCACCTACCCACCCCCCAAAAAAGACACAACTGCAAGGGAGCAGGCTGTACCTCCTGTACAGAAAGAAGAGGTGAAAAATAGATAGACTGTTTATCACTCCCTCACTCACTTGCCCAACCTTGTTTTTCCACTTTCATGTTGTCTTGTTTGCAGCTGTTTCATAAATTCAATGTATTCATATTGCTAGAAACAGCAACTGTCTATCTAACCAAAGGAAGTGATAGTTCATTCTGAGAAGCAGGAAAGAAAATTGATGTCTTCCAAATCCCATTTCCTCCAGGGTCTCCACACATTAACAAGCATCCCAACCCTGGTCAATGGTCCAACTACTACTACACCAACCATTCAGAGCAGGAGAAAGAATTCAGGACAGAAAATTTCGACAGTGTATTATTATTATCAACCCCTACATTACTTTTTTAAGTAAATGTTGACAGTTTAATAATCAAGCAAAAGTATATTATTTCAGAAGAGAGGTAGATAGTACAGCAAGTGCTTAAAAAGCATAAACTCTGAAGCCAGCCTACCTGAGTGCAATTTCATTTGACTTTTATTAGCTGTGGAACCTTACACAGGTAACTTTACCTTCTGTATGCCTTGGTTTCTTCAAAGGAAGGAAAACAGCAGCTACCTCATAGGTTGTTGTGGGGATTAAACGAGTTAATATATATAAAGCACCTAGAACAGTGCCTGGCACAAAGTAAGTGCTATCTAAATAATTATCATTTAATGCCTTAAAAATGCATCACAAATGATATACCGATGGACAAGAAAACCATGGATTATAATAATATAAATATACACAGACAAAATGGTGCCTAGAACAAGGACTGAAATTGCTCCACTGTAACCGCTGTTAAGAAACAGCTGGTACATGGCTCCATCTTAATCTCCACCCT